TGGAGCCCCCGCCCCCCCCAGCCCCGGCCGGGCCCCACCCCGCCCCTCGCCCTCTCCTGCCATCGGTGCCGCCCTAGCGTGCGGCGCGCCGGTTCTTGCCTCTGCCCTGTGTGCCCCCGCCCTCTGGGCAGCCGCAGGACTTCCGGCCCGCGTGGCTTTTCCTGCCTCCCCCCTGCCCTGCCCGCCCAGCGCCTGCTTGCTGCCCTCTGCGCTCACAGAGTCCCAGCGCTGAAAGAGACCTCGGGTCATCTAGTCCAGCCCCCTGCCCAAAGCAGGACCAATCCCAACTATATCATCCCAGCCAGGGCATTGTCAAGCTGAGACTTAAAAACCTCTAGGGATGGAGATTCCACCCCCTCCCTAGGGAACCCATCCCAGGGCTTCACTGCCCTCCTAGTGAAATAGTTTTTCCTAATACCCAACCTAGACCTCACCCACTGTAACTTGAGACCATTGTGCCTTTTTCTCATCCACTGCAATCCCCGGGTCTTTTTCTGCCAAATTGCTGCTTAGGCAGTCTGTCCCCAGCCTCCCAGGGGCAAGGCACCTGTCAGACCACATCCTGAATTTGGTTTAGTGACAGCCAAGTCCATGGAGATGTGTCTTGTGATGCCTCTTGGCTACTGTGAAAGTTCATTGCATAGATTTATAGACATTGCAGAGACTGGGAAATCTCTTTCCTGCACAGAGCTTTACTCTGATTGTGCCAGAAAAGAGAAGTTGTTAACCATAGTCTTCATTCTAAAGCTTTGGTTGGTCGATCAGCACAGATTCCACTGTAGTGATTTAGTTAAGATGATCTAAATTGAGGGGGTGACCTAAGAGGCAGTAGCTATGTTGGCAGGAGGAGTCCTGCTACTCACATACTCTGCCTATAGTGGTGCTGAGGTTGCTACAAATATGATGCACAGAGGTTCATCCCCCTGAGTGACATAGATGTATCAAAGTAATTCTGTAGTGGAGACCTGCCCTTAAATATTTTTGGATCTAGATCTGGAATAATCGATTACTTTTCATAAAGGTCCAAATGTCCTGATCAAAACATAGCCACTGTCCAAATTCCAGAGAAATTGATACAAACAATAACAAGTAAATGAGATTTTGTGGTCCATTCAAAAGTGTCTGCTGGTGTGGATTTGATACACAATGAGGCTACATCTACACTGGCATGATTTTCTAGAAATGCTTTTAACGGAAAACTTTTCCGTTAAAAGCATTTTTGGAAAAGTGCATCTAGATTGGCAGGATGCTTTTCCGCAAAAAGTGCTTTTGCGGAAAAGCATCCTGCCAATCTAGATGCACTTTTCCAAAAATGCTTTTAACGGAAAACTTTTCCGTTAAAAGCATTTTTGGAAAAGTGCATCTAGATTGGCAGGATGCTTTTCCGCAAAAAGTGCTTTTGCGGAAAAGCATCCTGCCAATCTAGATGCACTTTTCCAAAAATGCTTTTAACGGAAAACTTTTTGCGGAAAAGTACTTTTTGTGGAAAAGCGTCTATGCCAATCTAGACACGCTATTGCGCAAAAAAGCCCCGCTTGCCATTTTTGTGATCGAGGCTCTTTTGCGCAAAACAAATCTGAGCTGTCTACACTGGCCCCTTTGCGCAAAAGGACTTTTGCCTGATCGGGGCTTTTTTGCGCAATAGCGTGTCTAGATTGGCATAGACGCTTTTCCACAAAAAGTACTTTTCCGCAAAAAGTTTTCCGTTAAAAGCATTTGTGGAAAATCATGCCAGTCTAGATGTAGCCAATCTACCTATTGACTATGGGTGTAAAGGCAAGCATGCCAGTAAGGCAGTGCTTACCGGGTAACTAGTTAACAGGTTCCTGGCATGGCTGGGCCAGTTAATTGTTCAACATTTTAAATGGGATTTTACATCCCTACTATTGTTTATCTTTGGTATACAGTCAGATCACTAGAACAGTGTAGGGAGTGGAGGATAAGTCTGATGTTGGTTGCCATAAACACAGCGCTGAGGAAACGCTAGTCAGTATTCTGTACCGATTGGGGTTTCCTAAGGTTTCATATCCATCTGTGTTGCATTGCTGTAGTCCAACTAAGAGGTGATAACTTAGGCCAGGTTACCCTAAACTGTGTCACATCCTGGCAAAGGTATGTCTACACTTGTACCCTTTTTTTGAGAGAGGGATGCAAATGAAGACATTGGAAATTGCAAATGAAGCTGGGATTTAAACATCCATGCTTCATTTGCATATTTGTGTTATGGTGCTATTTCAAAATAGCGCTATTTCGAAATAACAGATGCTGTTAAGATAGTTATTTTGAGAGAAAACCCATCTTAACAGCATCTGTTATTTCGAAATAGCGCTATTTCAAAAGAGCGCCATAACGCGAATGTGCAAATGAGATATTTAAATCCCAGCTTCATTGGCAATTTCAAACGTCTTCATTTGCATTCCTCTCTCGAAAGAGGGTGCAAGTGTAGACATACCCTGAGGCTACGTCTACGCTTCAGGCTTTTTGCGCAAAAAGTTGCAGAGTGTCTGTCTACACTGCACTCATGTTCTTGTGCAAGTAAATTTACAGTATGGTGTCGGAAAACCGGGCTTCTTCCAAAAGAGCTATTCCTCTCTCCACAAGGAATAAGGCCTCTTGTGCAAGAGCTCTTCCACAAGAAGGCAGTGTAGACAGGCAACATGAATTTCTTGTGCAAGAAATCCCTATGGCTAAAATGGCCATCAGAGCTTTCTTATGCAAGAGAGTGTCCACACTGCCATGGAGACACTTGCACAAAAGCATCTCTTTCGCAAAAGCACGTGGCAGTGTGGACGCACCCTTGAGGAAGACCTTTTGCACAAGAACTCTTCTGCAAAACAGTTCTTGTGCCAGAAGCCTGGGCTATGTCTACACTCGCAGCTTCTTGCACGAGTAATATGCAAATGAGGCTAAGTGTGGAATATCGCCAAGCCTCATTTGCATACCTAATGAGCCACCTTTTTTTTGGCTCTTGTGCAAGTAAAACCCTCTTGCGCAATGCAATTACACCTATTACTTGACAGGAAGAATGGTATTGTGCAAGAAGGTTTTTCTTATGCAAGAAGGGGCAGTGTAGACGCTCCTTCTTGCGCAAGAGCCTCTTCTGGAAAAAAAATGGTGGCTCATTAGGTATGCAAATGAGGCTCAGCGATATTCCACACTTAGTCTCATTTGCATATTACTCGCTCAAGAAGCCGCGAGTGTAGACATAGCCCTGCAGTGTAGGTGTAGCCTTGATGTTAGTGAGGAATCGAGGAGCACTTCTAAGCTATAGACTGAATGAAATTACTTGTTTTGAGAACACTTAACAGGGCTAGCCAAGCAGTGGCAAGTCCTGCTCGCCAGCTGCATGGTTTCGCGCAGTTCTGTGCTCTGCGCCGGCTCTTACGAGTTGTAATCTACTCGGTGGCGAGTAGATCACATTATTTGTCGGGCCCTGCTTATTAACATGAAGTTCTTGTCTAATACAACATGACTCAAGCTGTCTGTAGCCTTCTCATGCTGCTGCAACATACATGATTAATAATCATATTAACTAAACTGAGTATGGATTCAAATCTGTAGGAACTGATGGAAAGTTAGTGCCTGGAATTTGCAGCATTGTATTGTATGCTTGCTCTGTTGCCTTTGACTGTGTGTATCTAATATCTCAGTGATATTTCTCAAGCATATTCCTGAACTGACTTAGTATGGAAAGAAACAGTAGTACAGTTAGCACAGCTTTTAAATAGTGCTAATTATGAGTACATATGTTTTGCTTTAAAACTATTTTGCTCACTTGTTAATGACAGAAGATTGACTCAGTTTTCAACTGATAAGAACCAATAGAAATGTTAGACATTGGTATTAAAAATATCAGTTTTAATCATTCTTTCTGCAGAGAATATTTAACTTCACTTTCAGAAAAATCAACGTTACCTTGCACATTTTAAATTTTGAATGTATGTATGTTTTATCCTATCCAAGGCCATGATCCTACAAACATTATATCATATGTGTAACTTTGCTCACCCGAATAGTCCTATAATTTTCAATGGGACTGTCCATGAGAGTATAGTTAAATGTGCGTTTAAGTGTTTTCAGGGTGGGGACAACTGTACTGGATGTTCTCATTCATATAAATGTCCAATCCTTTCCCCTCCCCCAGATATCCAGCTAAGGTTTCTGCCTCCATTGTATCTTGTGTGTTCTGTAGGTTAACTGCATTGTGCATGTATGGGGAGTGTTTCTTTTTTGACCAGTTGAGGATGTTTTGCTTTTCAATTTCATTATGTAATATATTTTACAAGAGGGTGAATAGCCTAATTTACCTCACATACTAGATTTCATTGATGCCCCATATTATTTCCACTCTAGATAATCTCTCAAGTTTTTCAATCATAGAGAAAACCATAACTATTCTGCTAGAATATAATTATTCTTTCTCACATAGGCCTCAGGTCTGGAAAACTTGGGGAGCAATGTGAAGCTGTTGTCCGTTTTCCCAGGCTCTTTCAGAAATATCCATTCCCCATTCTCATTAATTCTGCATTCCTAAAACTGGCTGATGTTTTTAGAGTTGGGTAAGTAAAATTGATCATATTGCAATGTTTCACATCTCTGATTCTCAAGTAGTACATTATTTCCTCTGATCCCTGTTCCCTCTGAAGCCTAGATAATCTTCCTGCTTTCCTACTTCACAGCTGCTCTCCTGTCTAAGGAGATTTGGATGGACTCTGTTTGGAGCCAGCTGGCATGATCCTTAGGGCTTTGGAGGGGCAATGAACAATTTAAGGCATTGTCATTCTGTCCTTCTAAGTAGAGCCCTGCAAATCCACGGATATCTGCTTTATATCCATAGTCACATACACATCTGTGGATGTGGATACCCATCTGCAACTTTTTTTTTTTTTTTTTTTTGTTGTTGTTGCAAATACAGATTTTTTGTATCTAGAATACAGCAAATGTGCAGAAATCCATTTTCTATCCATGGGCATTTAGGATATTAAGAGATGGGTAATTTGCTAATTGTGTAGTCGATGATAAATTTTTATCAACTACACGATTAGTCGATAAGGGAAGAAGCAGTTAGTCTTGTCTTTTGCTGGGTCCAGGAGCTACCCCCACTGAGGCTTTGCAGTTTAAATGCAGTAGGAGCTGGGCAGGCAGGCAGCCCAGTGTCTTCTACATTTAAATTGCAGATCCTCAGCAGGGGTAGGTCCCCGGACTAGGGATGTAAGCAACTACTTGAGCAGTTGACTACCCCATGAGCATAGACTCAGTCTCTGTATCAGAGGCAGCAAGTGGTGAGGAGGTAAGCAGGAGCCAGTGCTGAAGGGAGCTGTCTTTAAAAACCAGGTCCCCCCTAGCACCATCTCTGCTGTGCATAGGGTATGGGCAGGGGAGGCACAGCTGCAGTGGTCCTGGCACAAGTCAGGACTGCTCAGTCCCGCTGGGAGCCACCCACGCTGCTGCTCTTCAGAGCACCTCCTCATATTAACTAATCGTGTAGTTGATACAAATATCGACTACACAATTGTCGAATACCCGTTCCTTAACATCCTTATCCTGGGCCCGGCTCACACCACATCCAGGAGCTACTTGTGCTGTGGTTCTGCAGGTTAAATGTAGTAAGAGCTGGGCTGCCTGTCTGCCTGACTCTCCAAAGCAATCCGGGATAGTGATGTTAAAGACAATTGACTATCCCATAAGCAAATGCTTATGGGATAGTCAGTCAGCTAGTTGTGCCCCCCTCCTCCCCCCGCCTTGCTGCCTCTGATGGGGGAGGGGGAAGAGACGGTACAGTAAAACTCCTGATGGTTCGGCACTCCTTATGGTCTGGCACCATCAGGAACCCGGAAGTGCTCCGGGCAGCCAGACCATTGGAGCTGCTCTGTCCCCAGCTTCCCCGATTCAGCCGCTGCTAAAACTGGCTAGTGGCTGACGCCAGGAAGCCCGAGGCAGAGCTGCTGTGCCCTGGCTTCCTGGAATCAGCCCCTGATCAGTTTCAGCAGCAGCTGACTTGAGTACACCTGGGACAGAGAAGCTGGGGTGCT